TGTTGAAGTTAGAGTTTTGTTTCTAGTACATCTCCATATGTAACGCGAGTCTTTAAGTCTCTATTGCTTGGGATGTGGTTAGTGTCTCACTTCGAACAGTGAAAAAGTTAAGGTGATGGGGTGTAAAAATATGCAGATACTTCTCAGGCTAATAATTGAACTACATCTTATGTTCCTGGCAAAGAAAGATGAGTTTTTCTGGAGAAAAACATGTGGCTTAAATTTTTTTTTTTATTATTCATTATTATTTTTTTTTTTAGAAACTATAGCTAGCCTTACTAATGATCTCAAAGCACATCTAAAATGAAGGTGTTATTTGGCCAAACCATATGTTTGGCATCACACCAAAACAGTATTGGGCATGATCCCAGGAAACGCCTCTCCAGCTGATGCTTAGGAACAGTTTTAGGCAGCTGGTGCTGAATCTAGTGTGCATGGCTAAAATTGTGAGAGAAAGAATCTGGAAGGGGTTAATGCTCGATTGAATGCATGGCTTGCAATTCCATTATTTATTTTTTAGGGGTTTTTTTGGTTTAGTGACTTATATAATTAAGATCCTGAAATTGTCTCTTACATGAATGATGGCACACAGGCAGTGTTACACCTCCTCATTATGCTGGAGCATTTGTTTGAATTCTGGTATTCACTGAGACGAATACCATGTATCAGGCAGCCACTATTTCTTCCTGAGTACATATTCCTTAATCTTGACATCTCCCTTTCAAAGAGTGACCCGGTCTTGACTGGAGATCAGCAATATTCAACCCAGCCAACCTGGGAGAATTCCAGGTTGTGGAGAATGTGATGTCTGAGCCTTTTGCAGAAAATCAGATGTCTGAAAGCGTACAGCTGTTGCTACATCATATAGCACTGCTTATAAAGGTCCAAAATATGAAGTTGGAAAATATTAATATTGTAGCTTTGGCCTGCTGTTTATGATTAACATCCCAGGCATTATTAAACCACTGTTATCCCTCACTGTCAGCTTTGATGCTAGGTTCTGTATTTGTAGTGTTTGCATTGGATAAGAAGTTTAAGTGGATCTAATACAAATGTCCCCACTGTTGTAAAACAGCTTTTTCATCTAATGCTTTAATTTTTTTTTCTTTAACGACAGATAGAAATACACATCAAATAGAATGTCGAGGTTTTTTTTTTTTAGTATTGAGACTTATTCATAGCAATTCTAAAATGTGTTCATGTCACTAAAATTGAATACTTCAGGATTTATTTCTTTTTACTCCTCTCTCATGGTAGTGTCAACAGCAACCTGCTATTAATTGCTAATGTTTAAAATCTTTTTTTCTTTATAACGTTCTTTGATTAGATTAGTAATCAATAATAACTTCTTCGGGTGTTACAAATGAGAAGTTTACAGAGGCAGCAAGGAACGTGTTAGTACTTTAGAGTGTTACAGGCAATATAGGCAAAACCTAGCTTACATCGCTTAATGTCTCTTAAATAGTTTAAACAAAATGACTGCTGTGAGGTTTTGAGGGACCTGTAACAAGTCAAATACTAGAGGCTGCAGAAGCTGGTACTTTAGGACAGTGCAACTGTAGATTTTACCTGTGATTCTGTTAACACTGTTATTCCCTCAAAGTACCACACTTGAGCGATCTTCTCACCCTTCCACCCTTCTCTTAGCCCTTCTGGGAAGCTGGCTTGTTTTGCTTAAGAGTGGAGGAACTAAAATAAAAATTAAAAAAAAAAAAATTAAACAACTCCCAAAAATACCCTCTTTGACCATAACCTCTGTATCATTTAATTGGAGAACAGAAATAAATGGTTCTGTTCTTTGCTTGTAGAAAGGCCAGAAGTGGTAGGAAGACTTAAGTAGTTGGTGAAAATATAAAGTGGAAAAATTCTCCAGTAATGTTAGGGCTTTTTTGTAATAATGACAGCAATTTTTTACATTTGATGGAAGAAAAGCCCTGCTGATGTTTCGATCCATGTTTACTGGTAGGTTTACTTTCAAACTATAAAGTTTGAATTCTGAGTGTAATCTGCTTGTATGTTTTATTTTCCCTCATAAAAAGTTTCAACATTAAAATCACATTTATTTTGCTTCTTTTAAAAATAGGATTTAAAAGATACTGCCTCTCATCTCCATGAAGCTTTAGAAAGGTGGATATTGTTCTTCCTGCTTTACATCTGAAGTTTAGTGGAAAGTTAAGAGTTTTTTAAAAGAGACAGGAGATATGAGATCGTGCTAGGAATCTTCAAGCTTCAGTTCCTTTTCCTAACAAAAACAAAACCAAAACCACCCACAAACTAGCAGATTGCACCCAAATAGTTCTTATTTGATTGGAGAATTTAAAAAAAGTATATATATATTTACCATGCAAAGTTGTACTGATCTCAAGGTCGAATTCTCATACCACTTGTCCCTCTACAAACATGAACTGCCTAATGGTACCTATTCTCACACTTTTTTCTGTAAGGGGGAATGGGCAGAAGGATGTTGAAAGTGTGTCTTGCTTCTCTGTATGTGGGACATGGTAAATAGGATTTAATTGCTGCTGCCTTTTAGGTCCCTGTTCTCAAACCAGCAGACCTTAACAGGATCTTTTAGTAGTACAGATGCTTCAGATCAGGCTACAGGTATGTTTCTGTCAGATCAGAAGGCATTAGTTATTCTTACAGTGGCTGCAGGAAGACAGCAGTAACTGATCCACTCTAAAGGCAGTGTGATGGTGGCAGGTATTTACATCAGCAGCCTTTATGGGAAAGCAGGTAACTTATTTTTTTAAAGCCCATGTAAATTTATGCTGCATCTCACAGTGCCGCAGCATATTTGACCCAGCATTTACAGCTTGCTCTGGTATGTGGCAGAATAATAGTCTAAGTTCCTAATCTTTACCTTGGTTTTCACATTAACAGTAGAGTCATTGCATGTGTCCCCTGCCTTCTGATCAACAGTTACTTTTGTTTTCGTGTGGTGCCCTGGTGAGGACGGGTGTCATGGACCATAAGTGAAGGGCATGTGTGGGCGTTGCCTATAAATGAGGCACAGAAGCCTCTGCCAAACCAGTCCCTTCCAGGACCTGCAAGTTCTGAAAGCACGTAGGCAAGTGTGGAGCAGAGTTTATTAATATGTGCCTTACTGTAGGGCTTTGGGGCTGGATTTGGCTCTTTGGCCATGCCTGCCTTCAGGGAGGTGTGTCCTTACTTGTCCTTGTACAGGTTTTTTATTTCAGAAAGTTTAATAACTTGATGAATAAAGGAGGAAAAAACACTTTGAATTTTCAAAAATTACTGTGCATGTTATTTCAGAAAGGACAATTAAGAAAATACTAAAATTATGTTGTTATATGTTATTGTAAAGGACCATAATTCTAGAAAATTCTGTAAAAAGCTACTCGAGTGTAGGTGTAAAATAAATAGTCAAAATAGAATGATCTTCAACAACGAATGGCAGTGCTGTCATGGGGGCAGTATGAGAGTGATTTACTTTTTGTTGTTGTTGGGTTCAAACAGAAAAGATCAGGTTAGATTCCCTCAAATTTTGGCCACATTACTTCTGTAATGGTGGCTTTAATGATCAGTCAGTTTTCACTAGGAGCTACGCTGGTGTGACTTACATGTCATTTATCCACTGAGCATCTCAAAAGCCGCAGTGTTGCTTGGCTCTGTCTGCTTCTAGGCTTGAATTTGAACACATCCTCTCCATCCCCTTCACAGCTAAATGTTTTCTATTTGCATATTTTGTAGCTTCATCATTATAACATTTGTCTTCAAAATATCAGCTGCTGTGATAGTGCTTCTCAAAAAGCACCTCAACGCAAGGTGGGAAAACGAGCAGACCTGGCAAGTCAGTGACATTTCTCTGTCGGCGACTGGAACGCTGCATCTGGGTTTGCTGTTGCACTGTATTGCAAAGTTGATAGCTGAAATACAAATGCGGTCATTAAATGAAGAAAAATGTTAACGATAATTTGATTAAAGCAGGGAGTTCTGTACAGTATATGACTGTGGGGGGAAAAAGAAGTCATTTTATTAACTCTGGTTTAAGTTATTTAAATTCTGGATGGCCGATGGTCTTCAGGCATGCTAAGAATGATGCAGATCATTAGGTTTGTAATGGTATCATTAATTGTTTCAAAAATAATCTAAATCTGTATCTATCTGCTACCATCAGAAACTGTAGCTGTGCATTAGAGCTCATTAAACAATTCAGCTGTGGGCGTCGTTTGAAATTAAACAATTTTGAGAATAGTTTCAGTAAAAGGCTTGGAATGAGTACAAGTTCAGATGGAGACCAGCTGTGTTTTCCTGTACAGACAGGAGCCTGTTTCACAGAGGAAGTAAGAACACGCTGAAATAGGCTGTAGTCCACGAGAGAGCCCTGTGTTGTGTATGTGTGTGCGCTTGCAGTTGCGAGATGGAAACATCCCGAGACACGCTTTATTCAGTTTTCCGGTAGCCCTTTTATTCCCTTTATAATAGTTCAGCGCTATGCATATGATGTTCTTTTTTTTTTCCTGTCGTAATTTTCTTTGCCTGTTTTGCTGCTTAAAAATGGCTAAGGGCTTGTCAAGAAGGATGTCCCTGCATCAGCGCCGGAGGCTGTTAATGACCTGAAAGCTCCCAGCATGAGCTGGTTCAGAGGAAGCCTTCCCACAGGTTGTAATCGCTTACTGCTGTTGGGAGCTAAAGTTCAGTTACAGAGATTTCACTGTAATACTCCTGTGCTAGTGGTGTTAAAGGAGTAATTGCCACTTTGCCTCATTGCTGGTAACTTTTCTTTAGGGAGGAGGGAGAAGAAGCACCTGCTGAGTGACCTCTCCGCATGTTACCCTGTCTTGGCCACTGCCTGTGCCTTCCCCCTCCCGGCTATTGAATCTTGATTATCAGCAGTTTGAGATTGGGGTTCCCGAAGTTGTTTAATTGAAGTGCCAGCCAAGTTCTGCTTGCTCAAAAAGAGGTCCTTCAAGTTTGTGATGCAAATTTGTATTTATAGCATTAACAAAGCCACGTTATTTGTTTTCTTCTCATCTAGGTGCTTGAACTGGGATTTAATTTCTCATCCTATGGATCACTGAATGAGTAACAGATGGCCTTGCCTCGTCTTACGGGCGCTTTACGCTCCTTTTCAAATGTCACTAAACATGAGGATTACAGTGAAGAATTAGCTGACTTAACGGTAAAGATTTTTTTTTTCTTTTCCAAAGCATAATTATAAAGTATTAACGTGTATATAGTAAGAATTGTTTACTTTCTTAATTGGCATTGCTGTTTTATAAGAGTAGGCAAGCTAGACTGGACAGAGTGTGTATAGTTTCCTGTGCATGCCGTCAGAATGTCCTCACTCAGAGCCAGATTTCCTCTGTAGCTTTGTGATTTATGCTAGGCCCTTACAGTCATGATGTGCTACGTGGATAAGGTCGCTCGGCTGCATTAGTACAGCCCTGTCATTTCATCCTTCAGGAAGTTAAATTTAAGTTGGGCTGGGCTGGTACGTTTTAACTGTGAACTTATGCAGAGCTGGGCAGCCAAACATTTCCCTTTGAATATTAAGTTCACCTCAGACTTTTGTTGTGTGATGTTTGGAATAAATTTAGTGATACTGAATTTGAGCATCAGCTCCCCGCCCCCCTCTCCCAAGAAATAATTTATTAAAGCAGTATGTGTGTTGTGGGAACCTGTGATGTGAAATGAGTTTGGAATCTTGGGAGCTGTAAATCTCTTAAAGTTGCAAGAGTTTAGCTTTACAGAGAATTCTGCCTTGGAAAGAGT